CAACTCTGGCATGCGGGCATCTCCAGCTGACAAGTCCCAGATAGGACGAAACGCGCGTCCTGGATTCTACTGCTTGTCAACACATGTTTAATTTGATTCCAAGCACGTCTTCAGTCCGTAAAGTATTATTGGACAAGAGTAATTGATCCTTCTTGTCGTTTGAAGGATACTTTAAAGGGATCCTATTATGACTGAATTCAAGAACGATACTCAAAATTAACTTGATCGACTTCACTTTTAACTTACAAACTTGTGCACAAAACTGTATATCGGTTGAAACGCAATTATTTAATTTATAGCACCAGCCACTAAAAATTGTGTGCACAATTTCTGGTGATTGTAAAATTGGAATTTTAAATTTTTTTTCATATTATAAATTTGATTGTTTTCCCATTTGGGTTAGTTGATAAAATCTTGTGTTTCAGATGGATAAGCTTTTTTACAGAAGTAAAAATATTTGCATACAATAACAAATAATTTGAAGTTACCTTAACAGATGTGCTTTGATAATCTAAGTTTTACAAACCATGGTTCACTAATCAATATATGAATAGTTCTTGCTATACACTCAGTATAGTAAGTTCTAATTTACGTGCAAAATTCGAAACTAGTGATGTGACCAAGTAATATCACTTCCCTCCGAACGTTTAAAATAATATTCACCAATATTAGTTTGAAGAACAAAGGGTTAATAGGAAAAATCAACATGAAAAAATAAGTATTAATTTTTTATGGGTTTTTGGGATTACGCAACAACCCATGTGTTGTGCAGTCGGTAGTCTGACTTTTAAAAAAGTATTATATTCTGATAGAGAAATTAAAGCAATTTAGTTTATCACTTATTAAAGCAAACCCAAAATTGAAAAAAACTCAGAATGTGAGTAATGCAACAAATTATCAGTAAAGAGTTAAGAAGTTTGAGTTTTGACTAAGATCATGAACTGATCAATAGTGGTGTAACATCTCTAACGCGAAATCATGGACGTGCACTGCTGAAAAGTCCCATACTAAAACGAGATAGCAGTTCAGTGCTTCCAGGTTTTCAATAGTGGTTTAACATTAATCAGTTCACAATCTTAAATAGTACAATGAAGCAATGAAGTAAAACACAGATAAATCAATCATTATACAAAAGAAATCCATCAATTGTTTTTAAAATAACCATATGCTATATTGAAAGAAAAGTAGTATAAAAAATTTTTAATTTAAAGAACCTCACCTAATAGATTGTACAGACAATAAAATAACATTCTACTCATTCATTTACAAACATATGACAAAAGAGCTTGAATAGAAATTTTATTCACTTAGTATTAAATGTACAGAAAATTTGAGCATGTTGTAGTAAATGGACAAATATATTAGTGATGTGGAAGATGAAATTAAGTGAATAAAGTTTAAGTATAAAAATGTTATCTATGCAGTGTATATGATTAAAACAACTATTGTTACAAGGTAATTTTGAAATGAATAAAGAAATACAGACTCTAATTATGTAAAACGGAAAAACGTAGCGTGGAACTTTCTTTAGGAATATGTATCCGTTCTAATCGGTGAAAACCATGGCGAGACTATAACTTATGGACGAACCAATCACGTATGAGATAACGGGTTTTGGATTTCGGCGCGAAACTCACTCATCCATTTGACTAAATGGAGTTTTGGCACTATAATTGATGTCAGTTCGTGATGAAAATCCTAAATCTAATTTTTAACCTTAATCACCAACTGTAAATCATAATTCTAATTCCTCACACAGAACTATAACCCTCATTTGATACTGGTTATTAGGTGGACACTCTCAAGTTCAGTCTAGCGTCGCTGAAAGATCGTCCATTAATTATAGTCTCACCAAAATCACATATATAACACAATGTTTTACATTTGGGGAGAAGACGAATTTACAAAATTATAGGCCCATCAATGGCACCACAATTATTTATAGAAAAATGGAAAAAACTGTTAGTCACATAATGCTGAAGAAATCACTTCCCAGGACTCATCATTTTGAGATTTAAACGTAGCATTAGATACATAGTTTTAATGACAAGCTTTATATATCTGAAGATTTCAACTTATATAATTAGCACCTTCTCACAGGGAAAATTCATATCATAAGGAATCAGAGACGTCTTGGTTGTGTGGTTAAACTTTTTCTTAGCCATGACAAAGTTATGTCAAACTTTATTAAATACTCATCCAGTAAAAGTTTCATATTATAAGTGTCTCAGATTTTATGTAAGTGGTCACCAAAGTTGTTTCAGAATTAGTGAATTTTCGCTACATACAAGCAAGCTTAGAGTACTGTGTTCATTTTCACTTTATATCCTTATTGACACAATGAATTTAGTCAATAAAGTGATTAACAAGGTCTCATTTAGGTTCTCTTCATTAAATTTAGATCTTACTAATGCTAAATATGATTGCGTTTGATCTGATGATGCGTCTCTCATTTCAATCAGTGATAGACTTAATACCCATATATTTCTAAGGTTTATCTTTTTCAGAGCTGGTCACAATACAGACAGAGAAGTCGGACGAACTTCTGGATTGTTTGTTGTTTGACCCTTACAACAGTGATTTACATATTTTGTTTTACGAAGCATGTATTTGACCATCGTTAGAATGCTTTACTTTAATTCTGAAAACTTTTCAAACCAAAAAAGGTTACAGTCTGTTTTACACTTTGTATTCTGAGGAGTAATTGTATTTTAGACTGCATATACAAAAGCTCTAAGCCAAAACCTTATCGTGTACAAAACGGAGGGTCAAACTAACTCGAGTTTGTTTTCCTTCAAGATATTTAGTTATTTTTTAAATCTAGCTGTGGTGTCTTCTATAAGGAATTATTGACTAATATAATTCTCAACCCAATATTAAAGGTAAATATTTTTCATTTTTGATCTAATCTCTATATGAACTGTTGTTTATATTAGATTTTCTAGAGTATGAAACAATTAAATTCAGTCAATCCGTGAAAAAACATAGCCGCTATCATACGTTCGATGCGCTAATAATTTCCTTTCATGTTATAATTTATGAAAAACATCTATACACTAATAATTATACCGTAGTTTACTAAATAAACTGCAGAAACTTTAAATACGTGAACATTATTATTGAGCTAAGTAAGCTAGTGAGCAGCCAAACTCTAGCCTTCTGAATTTTGCTGATGCCGTCGCCATCAGGCGTCAAAAATCTGACCTATGTGTTCAAAAGGAGACGGTTGTTAATCTTTCCTTGCTTTGGTGACAAATATTTTTTCGCTGCACTCTAAATTTTTAAAAAAACTCTTTCTTGAATTTATTTTATCATTGATTTTTATTTTTCAACTATCTTTCAAATGAATAATCTCTCAACTGAATTCTACTCACTATATTCCTATCAATGTTTATCCATTATGTAATCAATTGTTTCTAACCCTTTTGAACTGTTGTTACAGTTAATGCTGTAGAATATTCTTTCACATAAGGTATATATTTACAATATTCAGTCTATTAATTTCATTTACACCAATGATATACTTGACGAATATGTCTTCAACTTAAAGGTAGCATTGTCAATCAAAACTCTTTTAGATTTTATTGACCAAATGTATTACAACCATTTCAGACATCACTATATATATAACCAGTAAATTAATTACTTTTCAACTCAAGAGGAAATTTCATAGTATAATACAGTGAAAAAAGACTATAGTTAAAAAGTTTTATAAATATAATAATAAAACTCTACAATGTCATGTCACACATTTATTGATCAATTTTACAGTTCGTACTGACGTGTGTGCTACTGATGTCGACAGTTATAAGTAGTATGTATCATCAATCAATAGTGGAATGCCTGGTGGCGGAGGGCGTATAAGATCGCCAAAAAACAGAACGAGAACAGAAGATGATTGCTACGGAAACAAAGGAATAATGAACTTTTAGAAGATTGGTTAACATTTAGTAAATGAAGTAATTACTGTATGGTTCACAGATTTTATTAAGACTTGTTTTGCCCTTCACTACAGTACCACTAAGATGTAATAAAAACTTCGCTCCAATCAATAACTTACCTTCATAAGCATTCTAAACAGTTACCACTGTTAATCATCACTACAACTCGAGATATTCTATTGTTTATGGGGTACATAAAATAATAAAAATTCAAGAGATAAATTTCTCAGAAGGGGTTTTGTGGAGATTTTAGTAGTGTCAATGGTTGAAATCATGAGCTAATTGAAGCTAGACCACTATGGAAAGCCTCGAAGCACTGGACAGCCGTTTCGTCCTAGTATGGAACTCCTCAGCAGTGCGTATCCACGATCCCGCCCCTGCAAGATTCAAACCCAAAACCTATCAGTCTCGCGCGCGAGCGCTTAACCATTAGATCACTGAGCCGGCTAATGTCTAATTTGGACCAGTCCACGAAATTTCACCATCGTCCTCCATTGTCTTCAGTGAGATGATAGGTCTGATAAAACTGTCAAGTCCTGGGTCCGAATCTCGCGTTGAGCGGGATCGTAGATGCTAACTTCTGAGTTGTTCCATACTAGAACGAAACGGCCATCCAGTGCTTCAAGGTTTTCCTTGATGATCTAGCTTCAATTGACTCATGATTTCAACGATTGAGATAAATTTCTCATTATTTATATTATAATTAAAGAATTCACTACTTACATTGTATAAACTTATTAAATCAGAATATGTTATCGATAGTTATAAACATCATAATTTTATTCATTCAGAAATGCCTCGAAATTTTCCATAGTTTAATTTACACAACTATATGATATAAAAAAAATATAATTAAATTCATTTTTACACCTTTATATTCTGTGTTATTTGGAAAATATTTAATATTATGCTAATTTACGTTATATCAGCTGTTTATTGTTCACAGTTAAATGGACATAAATGGTGCTTAAAAGAATTGAATAAATTTTCTCAACAATGTATATATATATATATATTGTTGGAATTATTTGTCACATCTTTCTATCTATCTAATTTCTACTTACAATGATATTATCAGAAACTACAAAACGTTCACTTTCTAATGGAGATTTAGAAATAAGTCGAAAGGTAATGTTGAAGACTAAAACTTTATATTTCTGACAAAACAAAACAAAAAAAACTAATTATTTTTATTAATTTAGGGATTTTCAAATGCCAGTTTACATAAACCAACTGATAATATAAAAGAAGTTGATGAATCAACATTCAATTCAAGTTTTGGTATTGTATTAACATGTTTGGGATGTGTAGTTGGATTTGGAAATATTTGGAGATTTCCAAGAATTTTAGCAACTTATAGTTATGATAAAGGTAATATGTATATATATATATATATATATATATATATATATATATATATATATATATATATATATATATATATATATATATATATATATATATATATATATATATATATATATATTGTATAAGGATCTAAATTCGCTTACTTATATTTAAGAGTTTTCTATAAACTAAGATTGTTTAATTCAGTAGTTTTTAATAAAAAAGAGGTTTCCATGTAATATTTCGATTGATATTGAATAATACAGATTTGTAACGAAACTTTGAAACTGATTATATCAGAGAACATTAGACTGAGATAAATGATACATTTCAAGTAAGAATAAAAGATGTGAATACAATGAATTCAAATAACAAGTAATATCATGTCAGAATATAAATGATTGTTTATTGATTTATAAATTTTCTTAACACTTGTTATTTAGTATTGAAGACTCTTTGTTTTACATGGTAATATAAATTTTAGTATTTTGATGGTGTTTTGTTCTCTGAGCTGGATGGTTTGGTTGTTAAGGTAAAAGACTTTTACCTGAAGTTTGAGCTGATGATATCGTTCAGAAGAACGATGAAAGCTCCGAAATCAAATCATTCACCTCGGAGAACAAAATTTCGTCAAGATCATCCACCTGAGCTACAAATCTTCCTTATCATTTCAAAATTTTAGTATGGTGGAAAACGTTAATATCTCTTTTATGATATTTGTTTTATGCGTATTCGGATCATAGAGAGTAACTATGTATATAAGTTTAGTAAAAAATAAAAAAGTAAATAAAAATCTAAACGTGATTATTATTTAGTGATTTTTAAAGCTAAGATCATTCAGTACACCCAACATGGAACAATTATTCACAATAATATATCTTGTTAACAGAAATTTACCTAAATCCATCAGACTGGGAACTATTCAGACGGCTGAAGCAATCGCTATTCGGTGGAACTTTTACATTCAGAAGAAATGGGCTCAAACGCTCCTTTTACACCAGCTAACTTCTGACCTAATTATTTAATAATCATCTTTATGATATGGTGATGTAATTTGAATAATGTTTATTTTCACAGCTTATACTGATCTTGTTCACACACCTTATCATTACCATTATTATTATAACACCTGCCAACGTTTTTTTGAGAAATTTATTCAGCGTCCACCCTATTTTCGATTTCGTACCCAATTCATACTATCCCATGTTGGAGAAGATTTGAAGTTCAGGTGGATGATTTCGATGGAGTTTTGTTCTCTGAGCTGAATGATTCGGTCACTCAGAGAACAAAACTCCATCAAATTCATATTACTATATAAATTATGTGGTTTCTGATTTGTAATTACATTATTATTTGAATAAAGCCAGAACAAACATGGATGCCGAATAATATAAATTCATTATATTTCGTGGTTTCTCATCAGCTGCCCACAACCAAATATGTGTTAAAATTTCGCATTGAAGTAAGATATAGTGTGAAAAAATTGAAATTGAATTGGGATGACAACATGTACCAATAATAACCATATAGATATGTTCAAGAACCGGTTTAAGGTCATTTGGTGTTAGAATAAGAAATATAAGTGGTAGGTGATGTAGTAATTGAGTGAAGTTCAATGACACACAAGATAAATTGTGTGATGATTTTAGAGGTAATGAAGGGTTTGCAAAAGATTCCTGGAATTTAAAACCTGGTAACATGGGTTGTATAGTAATTAAACAGGATTTGCAGAGTTGACATAATTTAAGAGAACCGAGTGAGTGGAAATGTATGAGTGAATCAGTGGTTTGAATGTACATAAATAAGAATTCGGTAATGAAAGAGAAATATAACAAACTAAACATTAGCAAATACAAACTAATGACCAAAAATTGAATTACCAAGGTAGTAATAGGTTTCTTACTGTCTCTTTCTGAATACATAGATCAGGTTTGAGTTTTATATAGCAATCGCTTCAGCAAACCTAAGAGAAGCAGTACATCATTATCTATCTCACTCCGTGTTCACCATATTTATTCTGATCATTTATCCCATAGTTTTACTTAATATATAAACATATTCAAGTTAGTACTTCTTATTACTCACCCAAACATTAACGATTTGATTTGATGTAATATTGCAAACGATCCTTAATTTATATGTTATAATTTTAAACGACGCATATTGCCTTAAACTTGGCCAATTTTATGGATTATTAATTTGGAACTTGAAGAGAAACTATTGAATAGAATGTTCATCCTTCATATAATTGTGCTTCAACATGATGAGAATTTTCCAAAAAATATGAAAATATTTAAAAAAAATACTAATCGCACTTTATGATATGAACTGAGATTTCAGATCAATAAACAATTTACCCTGATTGATATTATTATTGTGTTTAAGTCATACTTAACTAACGTAGGGATATTTTCAGAGTCTATTTATTTCGACAGTAGTATAGCAACTATCCTACAACTAATTTTGATTATGGTTAATGTTGGTTAAGCCCTTTTATTAACTTATTTAAAAGACGATGTTATTTGCATGGTAACAATTCTCATGTTTCTTCGTATTGTTATGATCACCAGATCACATGACAGACTCTAGCTGAAATGTTGGTTGTTTAAATATCACTCGACGATTTCATCGTCCTCTTAATGTATATATATACTCAAATATTACTATTAGCTGTTATTTTGTCTTGCTGTGCCCTTATGCAATTTGATTATGAAAGTGTCTATGTAATTGTTCGCATATACTTATTCGCCTCTCCGCTTCAAATACGCTCGATGTGTTTATAGCTTTGTGATCTGCGCTATCCGCTAATAAACTGTAGTTGTCGCTTCTCATTGCCTACTGACTTTAAACATCGTTGAGATTTATATCATAACGGTTATCGAGGTGATCGATTAACGAATAAAGGCCACTGTAATATTTTACAACAGCCGACTGATTTTAACAAGAAAAAATACCCCATATTTGAGCTCTTTAGTTTTTAACTGTTGTCTACCTGAAGTCCGTCAATACTATTAACTACAAACGTTTAGGCAAAATAAATTTATACTAAATGAACTTTACAACTTAATAATCACTAAAAGAAATTATGGCAAGACTATAATTTATGGACGAACCAATCAGATTTACGATAACAGGTCTTAGGTTTTGGCGCGAAATTCATTCACCGGTTTGGTTAAATAGAGTCGTAGCATAATAGCCGATGTCATTTCGTCATGAAAACCCTAAATCTAATTTCTAACTCTAACCATCAACTGTAAATCATAAAGCTTATTCTTCAAACTGCTTTATAACGTCTCTTTAGCCCTAGTAAGTAGGTTGACACGTTCAAGGTCACTTTAGTGTCGCTCGACGGTCGTCCATAAACTATAGTCTCACCGGAAATTAATATAAACATATTATTATGTAATATACACCTAATATAGCAATATTTATTCCGTATACAATCATAATCATCATAATCATAAACCATTTATTCATTGTTTGTATAAAAAGTCATTTTTATCAGTTAAAACTTTATTCAATTTATTTTTCACAAATTGTTCGTTATGGTGCCATCACCTGATATTTCAAAAAATTATAATAATACTTTTAATAATTTCCATATTACCTATTTTTAATTGAAATATGGTTTCCAATTAAAATCATTTTAATTATGACCTTTCTCATAGTTACTGTAATTATTTATCACAACATAAAATTTGGTTTTCACTTTAAAAAAAAAATTTTTTTTTAATTTATACAATACATTTTAGGTTCATTAACATTTTATATGGTATGGGTAATTGTGCTTTATTTATGGTCTGTTCCAATTGTAATTGTTGAGTATACAATGGGTCGTTTTACACGAAATTCTGTGGCTGCTTCATTTCATAAATTTTTTGGAGATAAATTTGCATGGATTGGTGGATGGATTACCTCGGTAACATTTTTTCTAAGGTTAGCTTTATTAATAAATATTGAATTGACCTTATTTTAACTGAAATAGTAATCATAATCAGTAGTGAAGTAATATATTAGTAAAAATAATCAGGCATTTTTGTTAGAGAATTAGATAAGTATACAGTCTGTAAGAGCTTCGAACAGTTCACTCATATGTATTTTCAAAAGTTGAGATCAGCGCTAAATGTTGTTGGAAATAAGAAAGTATTAGAAAGATTTACATTTTTGGTTTACTCAAATAATTACAATGAAAGCAACAAATTGTTACTGCTATCTTGTTTCAGTTCACTGATACCTTAAGCAAGTTACAAATAGTAATAACTTCATGCTATTAAGAGAAAAATAATCGGTAATGCTTCACACCATTGTATTCAATAATCCAGTCACCAAACTGTTTGATATAGAAAGGTAAATACGTCTGTAGAATTGTATCAAATGAATAAAATTAACTAGCATGAGAATTATTTGTGATGACAGACAAATCAAACATAACCGAGAAAGTACTTAAAATCTGTCAAAATTCAACATAGAATTGTTCAGATTTACAAACACTATGATTGTTATTTAATTAGAAAAGTGAATTAGTGAAGATTAAATTCGTACAATTAACATAAATCACTAAGAAAGTGATCAAATCATGTGTTTGTTCAACTTAGCACAATTGCAACTATAAGAATAAAAAAAAATGAACAACTTACAACACTTAAGAAATGAACATAATTATAATGATAACACAAATGAAGTTGGTTATAACAATATAAAAGAAGAATTTCAGATTAAAAAACTCTGATTGAATCATGATTCAAACTGAAGAACAAACATTTTGTTCAATAAATAACTCGATGGAGAAGCATCAATAGAATTTAACATCACCTTTTCTTGATATTATCATAAAATAACTATTTCATGTGACCTAATTATTTCACTCATAAATTTTTCTCAATAAAATAATATTGAAAAGATATCTGATGGGTTTCATTTAATGAATAAAGTCTACAGTATGTAGTTATAAATTAATCACGTGTTAGTTTATGATAGTCTCACCGTAGTTATTCATATTCAGAGAATGTTTGATCAGAAGAAAACAAACGCGATAAAATAACTTTAACAATGTGTTTCATACGTACCATATAAAAGACAATACAACTACTTATGATTACGTTTAATTTTCTAATTAAGTAGTTTAGTGAAATAACTTCACGTTTATTATTTTCTATAAAATTGAGACATTGAATCCTATTTTTTGTATAAATTTGAAATTATTGATAATGATGCTGATACTCTGAGATGTAGGTATATCTAGTTGACGAGTCCAAAACAGGATGAAATGCGCGTCCTGGATTCCACTGCTGGCCATTATCCATCTTTGCTTATAATGTTTGTGATTTGAGGCAATATCGAAGCAATCCACACAGTATGCACATATGTCAATAAGAGACTGATCAATTGCAGCCCTAAACACCAATGAGAATATTCAAGTAAACAATACCAAATGAATTTAAATTAAGATCTATTTAAGTAATATTAGGAGTACAGTTAATGGCATTTAATGAATGTGTCAGTATTGTTCTTAATGCTAGAAAGCAGTTGTTATTTAAACTGAATCTGGGTGGCCTGCTTGAATATCTGGGCTACCTGTTTCTGCCATCTGATTATTTCAACAAGTTATCTAGGTTTTTTTCATTCGTTTTAACTTATAATTATGTCCATTAATCGCATAACCTATCCAGGCGCTTTTGTGAAAAGCCTACGACCTTTCGCTGCACAAGTTACGAAAAAGTACTATAAAATACATCGTGGTGGTTGGCAATATGCGTTAAAGATAATGAACATTAATCGTATGTCGATTCCTGAGCTGCTAAATTCTAACTCCCGATCACTAACCAACAAAGTGAACTATCTGCAATTCCTACTAAGTCAAAATATGTACCGTAATTGTGGTGTCATCACAATTCAAGAATCTTGGTTAAATGATTTATAGGATGACTGCCTAGTATCACTACGTGATTTTAAAATTTATCGCCAGATCGATCGAACAATAAAAAGAGGTGTGGTGGCGGTGTAGCTACGTTTGTAAACATAAACTGGTGTCGATCTTCGTTTGTGTGTTTTAAGTTTTCAAATGACTTTATCGACTGTCTAACTCTAAGATGTCCAAAACATCTGAATAAATACAACTATGTTTATGTTACCAATATCTACGTGACTCCAGATTGCACATCATCTGCACTATCTGTTTTCGCTGATGAATTCACTGAGTTGGCTGTTACTACCTTCAGTGATTCACTTTCAGTTGTATGTGGTGATTTCAATTCATGTGACTGTAGCTTCCTTACGTCACTATGTCACAAAAACGTAGTGGATTTTCCTACTCGTTTGGATGCTCATCTAGACTTCGTCTTCATTAATGACGTGGGCATATACGTGACTCGTAAACGTGCTCCATTGTCTAGCTCGGATCACTGCATAATTCGTGTTCTACCTAAAGTATATGGAAAGCATGGAAAGAGTACACTCTTACATCAAACCAAGAAAGTCAAATATAGGAATTACTCAGAAGAAAATATCCGAAATCGGAAAAATATGTTTCATGCGACTAATTGGGAATTATTTACAGATGACTCACTGTAAATCACTACTAATGTTATCACTTGTTACCTTAAATTCTGTTTTGATATTTGTTGTCCCACTGAAACCATTTTTGTAAGTTTTGATCGACTTACATCTTCACAACTAAAACGACTATGGAAAGATAAAGAAAGAATGTACAAGGAGAAGAACTCGAATGAAGTTCGTAAGCTAAATGGTCTGATAAACATAGAGATTAGACGTCTCAACTCTATGTTTACTCAAAAACTCTTGTCTTGCAAAAATTCTTCAAGTATGTGGAAACTCTTTAAAGAACTAACAGGTGACAGACAGTTTAGAAGCGATAACCAGCTGAATGTTTGTGACTTGCACAAGTCGTTTGTGCGTCAGTCATCTGGCGTGATGCTCCCTCTATCCACGGGTTTAAATAATAGTTGTGTTCCTACTTTCACTGAGACTGATGTACGAAGATGTCTCCAGTCACTTAATTCATCTCGATGTTTGGAACATGATGGTATCCCAAACATCCTTTTTAAAAAGTGTGCTGACGTCCTATGTTATCCGTTCACAACTATCTTTAACAAATCCTCCTCATCTAATCTCATACCGAAAGTGTGGAGAAAGACGGAGATAATTCCTCTACCCAAGAAAGCATCTGGTGATAAGAATGTAAAATTTAAACCTATTGCAATAACTTCACCCTTCCTCAAACAATGGAAAAATTATTAATACTTCCATTTCAGCCTGCGATAAAAGAGCATATTGATCAATATCAGTTTGCTTACAGACGCAAAAGAAGCACTTTCTATGCTGCTGCTGTTCTGCATCACAACATAGTGTTCAACTTAGAAAAGGGTAAGAAGTATGTTCGATGTGCTTTTCTGGACTATACTTCAGCTTTTGACTCTATACCAAGACAACGTTTACTTAACAAGTTAATCAGCGTCAACACTGACAGCTGGATAACCAACTGGCTATGTTCCTACCTCTCTGGAAGGGAACAGTACACTGTGTTTGGAGTAAAGTGTTCAGAGTCTCTACTGTCTCACGAAGGTGTATCACAAAGAGCTGTTCTTTCACCTCTTCTTTTCTCTTTTTTTCTGCATGACCTGCCATTTTTCACAATAAACACTCTTTTGAAATATGTGGATAATCTCACTGTATGTATGCCTATCTCTTCCTCTTTACATCCAATAGAAATGAGTGAGTTTTTGTCTTGTACCGATTGTTGGTCTGTTCGTAATGGTCTTATACTTACTCCGTCTAAATGTCAAGCTGTTAACTTTAGCATGAGACATGAACAGAATATAAACACTATTTTGAGATTCCATAATGCTTGTACCATCGGTGACTCTTTGATAAACACAGTGTCGAAGGTCAATTATCTTGGTGTCACCTTTTACTCTGATCTCTCTTGGTGTTCCCACGTTTTATTGTTATCAAAGAAGGTTTTCCGTCTGACCTACTACATAAAGAGACTGCATGCTCTTGGGATTACTCGTCATTTACTCTTACAATTTGTCAATTCTTGCATATTACCTATTATTCATTAATGTTCTCCATTATTCTTTCCCGGGCTTTTGAGAAAAGACTTTGCTGTATTGCGGAGAGTGCTGAAGACAGTTGGCAAGATGTGTGGTGAATCTTTCGAGATCATAATTAATATGGTTGTGGATAGACATTTAAAATCATGCAAACTTCTGGCAGGTGTTATTTTATCAGATACTATCCATCTCCTTCACTCTTACCTTTCTCCTTGTATATCTTCTGGTAGAACGAGACGTAACTACATTAAAATCCATGCACGCAAGCAAAAGTATAAAAGTTCTATAATACCTTACCTAGCAAATATACTCTGTGACGAACAGGTTCTTAGAGTCAACCTAGTCAATAACTTGCATTCTTAACATGTCCTTAATTTTAAAAGTTGTACAGTTTTTCGGGTTTTTTTGATTTTTTTCCTTTTAAAAAAACCTTTTTTCATTTTTTTGTATTCGTTACTGTGTTTTGTTGTTGTTGCGTGAGTAACTTGTTGAAATAACCTGTGCTGAGAATTATATATTGTACCAAAACTATCATATTGAATAAAGCCATTAATAGTAATAATAATAATAATATTAATAATTACAAGCCATTTGATAATTATTTAGGAAATTCAAATAAACATTCATTTGAAAATCTGCTGTTTTTAGTGGGAATAGATAAACTAGACATACAATACTTAGCTTAACCAGTTTACCTGATCACTCATTGTAAAGATGGTATATAAGATTCTTTATGGAAGTTGAAAATTGTTTTTACAAACATTGATTATCGAGGTTTTCACTGTAGAATACTGTAAACGTATAAGTAAATTAATTCGTTTTCAAATAGGCAGGTCATTTGGAACTAGTTCTTACCATGCGCTAGGATCAACTGAAAAATGAGTGAAAACCAGGAAACATTAGGTGGCTATTTTATCCTAGTTTGTGTCTTCCTAACAGTGTCTACAGACAAAATTAAACGAGTGGACTGAAGTTGGAATTCAAAACACTGGATGTCAACTTAAGGATGCATCTATTGTTGGTTTGTTTTGAAACTACATAGTTTTAGGTTATTTGGTTATTGAGTTCGTGGATAACCACATATGAAGTGTCTGATACAAGACAATTGTTCCCATCTCGTTATTAGTTTAACATTCTCCAACTGGTCTAGGATGAAAACTACATTCAGAGTAAACAAACACCACAAATAGTTTATCTTGATTTACGCATATACGTCATTTTGATACATCTTTGTTCTTGATTCAATATTAAATAGAATTTCCAGTACCGATTTAACTTATTTATCTAATTCATCTGTTAATTTTTTAATTTCAGTGCTTATTATCCAGTGATTATTGGTTGGTGTTTATACTACTCTTACATGGCTTGCTTTATTGGTTTACCTAAAAGTGAAATGGAGAGCAAAGAAAGATTTAATAATTTTGCCAGGGTGATTATTCTGGAATTTTTTTAAAAAAAAAACAACAGAAATAAGTGTAATTATGAAGTAATGTTCATTTTTACTCATATAGATTGTGTCATTCTAGACGTCTACTTTGAATACTTAGAACATCTTAATCTTAAAAATTAACAGTCCACTACAATAGCAGATACAATTTCAAATTGTTTAAAAAATTTGATTCTTGTTCATTTATCAACTGGAAGTTTGACTTACCTGAAATGGTTATCTGTTGTTTACACCATAGACATTTAAGTAAACAGTAAATATTCAGTACAGTGTCTTCAAGCTTTTCGTTGTACCTAAAACGATATCTTTTAAAATTATTACTACTGATCACACCAACGGGTACAAGCAGACCAGATACATTTCTTCTAATTCTTTCAAAGGAATCACGACTCAATTTTAATTGTTTAATTTCATTTACTTCTACTATTTTTTTCTATTCTTAAACCAAAAGTCATTCAAGAAGCTTGTGGTGAGTATTACCTTAATCTACCAGTTACTTTGGGAAAACTGTGAAGAATGCAAGTTTTAAACGAAATCGACATTAAATAAACACACATTACTAATTCTATTCTAAGCGATAGTAATTGAATTTTGTAACAGATGTTATCATAATATCAAGAATAATGTAACAAAAACAATATGATACTGAGTGATGTAATCAAAAACTACTGAATTGTTGCATTTTATAAAGAATTTCTTACGAATTTCTAAATTTAAACATAAACATACTTTCTGAACGAACAAATGATTTCGTTAAAGTAACACAAATTTAGGCTTCAACAACACTGTCATTGTAATTGAATATACATGGGGAAAAATTGTTCAAGTTTTCGAATTTGTCAACTTATCAAACATTTTCCATTTATCTACACATTTATTTGCAATTGCTCTTTTTTACAAATAAGGAAAACACCGGACGGCCGTCTAGAGGTTAGGCATTCACGACCGTTCGAGACCGATAGGTCCTGGATTCGAATCTCTCAAGGTTGGATCGTCGATGCGCACCGCTGAGGAGCCCCACAATAGGACGAAACGGCCGTCCAGTGCTTCCAGGTTTTTCATGGTGGTCTAGTTTCAACTGACTCATGATCTCAACTGTTAAAAAAATTTGGTATTATGTTCATATTTGTGATGTAAATGCGTTTTATTATTAGTTGTTTCATGAATATTATATCTTGTTAGATTATTTTAAGGAAATGCTGTATAAATAAAAGACAAAATTTCTTACACAAATAAAGTTGAAAAATTCGACCTAGCATTGAGTAATGAATGTGTACTGCTTAGAAATTGCAATGTAATAATAGAATAGGTTTTTAGCATTTCTTTCATTCTTGAAGATTTCTCAGTTGTTAAAAATAATTATCATAGAAATCGTATCATTTGACAGTTACCTCAATGATTTTCATCTTTAAATTTTTCCCATTGAATAAAAGTATATGACTAGAACTTAACTTGAACTCCGTTTATTTACAGTTAATGGAAAAACATGAATGAGTATCTGTATGAATGAAGTCCAGAATAAAATACGATAATTAACTATGGATCCGATATGACTATTAAGTAATATCGAATTTAGTTATAACTATTGATGATCAATTCAAGATTTTGAAATACTCCATACTAGACTTGACTTCACTAGATATGAAGAATTTCACTATTTCATTGGTTGTGTTTGTAATAAACTTGTAGATCGAAATGTAATATTTGTTGAGTAATCAATATTGTAATTAAAAGGGAATCTAATAAAATATCGTAATAACTTCATATTTTTGTAAATAATATAAGCACATTTTCAAGTTTAAAACTATTATTGTAATTGTTCTTATTATCACTTGATGATTTATTTTCAGGATTCATATTGGCCTGTTCTAACACAATGTATGAGCGTAATCATGGCAGCAGCCTGTATATATGGGGGTATAAAATGGATTGAAAAAGCAAACAACATACTTGTTCCTTTCCTATTGATTATTGTGATGTTTACATGTGGGTGGTCATTGACTCGAACTTATGCTGAAGTAGGAATTAAATTTTTATTCACACCTACATGGAGTAAGTTGATTAACTTCAATTAATTAATAATGAAATTTAGAAGATAATCTTATTACTTGAAAAGTCTAGGATACACAGAATAATCACTTGTAAATCAGTAAAAACATAATCCATTAAAACAATAGTATAGTTTTAGTTCATTATCTCAATAGTTTTATGATTAATTGCCAAAACGTTGCTTAGTCTCAATGTTTTAAATTCACTTGATGTTGCTTGATTATATATTCCCATTGTTGTTTAGGTCTGCAATTGATCAGTCTCTTATTGGCATATCTTCATACTGTGCGGATTGCCTCGATATTGCCTTAAATCACAAGCATTCTAAGCAAAGTTGGATAGTGGTCAGCAGTGAAATCCAGGACGCGCATTTCATCCTATTTGGGATTCGTCAACTAGATGTAACTGCCTCCCAGAGTTGATGTTTCAAGATGTATGAATGAAACAGATAAAATACATTTACAAGATAAAAAAATTCTACGGTAAACAGTTAAAATAAATGTGAGCAAATAAAACAGAATTATCAAAATATCGTCAAGACGATATACAAAGGTGTGCGTGGAGATCCATTTGATAGACAAATTGATATTTGTAAGAATTATAGACTTGAACTGATTGATCACTTTGTAGTAGCTATTGTCATGTAGTCAAGATCATAGTGCTAGTTATCAACGAATGACCAATTTAAGTTAATTACTCGTAATAATTCAAATTAATAGGACGTTTATTATCTACGTACATGTTTAAGTACTAGACAGAACTAATATGATAAAAGTTTTTATTCTTGTTTATCATGTACAAGATAACTACAATATCGTAGCAAGATCAATATTTTGGATGATTATCAATTTTATCTTTTTAACTTGTTACTTTTCTACTGATAAATTAAGTTTTTACTTAGCTCATTGCGAGTAAAAAAGTTTTCTTTTTATCCTATAACACAAGTGTCATTTTTTTAGCAAACAAGCTGGTGTCTGTTTGTCTGTTCAGACGTCAATCTGAAGTTTATTTATTACTTGTTTAAAATTGTTGCTTATTACCATGACACGCTTATATGGTAACAGAAATTCCCATATTTATGAACAAAAATATGATTGAGCAATATTCTCGTCGAATAAGATGAAAGATTCATCAATAATTAATATTTCACCGTTTCATCAAAAACGAGGTAGGTTTTTGTTTTTAGATAAAGTGAATTCACCTCTCACCTTGCTACTCATAGCTTGCTTAAAGCTATTTATTAACCACACCGTTAAATTGATGCTTATATCTATATTTCATTCAGGTAGTTTAAAAGATCCTGAGATGTGGATTGCTGCAGCAAGTCAAAATGCCTTTGATACAGGTGCTGGTATAGGAGCACTAGCTACATTTGCCGCATTTATGAGTAGACAGCGTGGAGCGGTAAGATATGGTACAATTATTCCAATGTTAAATAACTTAGTCAGGTAAGTACATTTTGGCCTTGTATGAAAGTAAATTGAAAAACTAAATTGGTAAAATGAAATGATTTCTGATGGTTTACTCAGAGTTATTATTATGTATTACTTGCATTTACTAAATATTCAAATAAAAGTTACATCGCGACAAACCACATGTCGAATAATTTGTGCTAGAGATAAGGCTTTAGAGTCTCAACGGTTTAAGGACTTCCAAGTTTTATGATTCTAGGAAAGATTAAATTTTACTCGATAACTTGAGCAATTTATTGAGACAAGTGATTTTTCCCTGAAAACACAACATAAGATTGAAGAAATTCACTGAACAAGTATGAATGTAAGCAGAATAATTTAAAGTATTCAACTTTAGGAAACGAAGTTCATAATATATTCTGAATACATATGTAAACACAAAAAATCGTTATCTTATATAATTTAAAACTAGTACTTGTTGTCTTAGAGTATTCTCTTTACTCTTTAATATACGATTCGATTGTATTACTCAAAAGTGATAGCTATTAAACATTCTAGGTTCAAATCGGTGGTCGCTTATAAAGCGTAAACTAATTCTTTAAACTTTTGTTAATCATAATCTTGTCATTTGATGATAAAACAAATATTAACCTAAGTTTTTAGTAGCAAGAAGAACTATTTGTAATTTGATAATATACAGTACTATTCATCTGAGCAAATTAATATCTGAAGGACACATTTAGTAGATTTCCAGAGTTGTTCTGATGTTGATGACCTAGAATAAAGTTAATTCAGGTTCTTACGTAACACAATTAAAAAATAATGAAAAGAACTTTGTAAAACTGCTGCTATAGTGTGGTATGTGTCATCGCATAATTGTATTTTATAGCATTAAAATTTCATATTTGAACCGTACGATTCTACGTTAATATATCACTGTTTCTAAAAGTTATTTTTTACAAAAAGTATACTGGTTACTTTTATATTTTATAGCTTCATAAGTTCGATTACAGTATTTTCCACTGTTTTTGCAACACTGATACAAAATACACCAACATTAACGCGTTTAGGGATTGTAAAAATCATGCAGCTGACTGGACCTGGTAGTACTGGATTAACATTTATTTGGTAAGTATATTTTTGGTTAAAAGTGAGTAAATGACTATGTATCAATGACAGTGATGATTGTGTGTAAATCCGTTCCCAAAGACTATACATTTCTACTTCAATAAACAGTCAAAATTTAAATGAATGAAACCTATGGCTACTATATAATTATTAGTAAGTGTCGGACCAGAAATAGAGAAAAATAGATTTATCACTCACTAAGCAATAGTGTCAGAATTTTTGGGATACGCAAGTTTCTGCTCCAGGACTGGCCTGCGTCAACACCTGAACTAGGGATAGGGAGTTAAGTAGTCAAACGCGTTGACAAATTCACTTATCTTGGAAGTTTGATCAGCCCTAATGGGTTGGTGTCTGACGAAATGTCAGCACGATTCGAAAAGCTCGTCTGGCTTTTGCCAAATTGCGTCACCTATGGCAAAGATGAAATATCCGTCTGTCAATTAAGGGATGAGTATACTACGCAGCAGTTCGCTGTGTTTTAATTTACGGCTGAGAAACGTGGTCATTAAGAGTAGAACATACTCATAAGTTACTAGTATTTGACCACAGATGCCTTAGAAATATTGCACGCATCTGTTGAGATAATCGGGTAAGTAATAGTGAGGTTAGACGTAGAGTAATAGGGAATGATGGTAAATAATTTGATAAGGATGTGTATCTTCATCTACTGAGATGTTTGTGCCACGTGATGCGTATGCCTGAACAGAGATTACCATGATGCACAATGCTGACTAGTGTTGGAGATGGTTGGAAGAAAGTAAGGGCGACCAAACTGAAACGTGGCATCAGTGCTTGAAGTCACTAATTTCTAGTCTGAGCCATGTTGGTTGATGCAGAATACTTGGTTGTGGTCCGCATGACTATTGTAACCAATGGTTGGAAACTCTGTGTGACATGATTGAGAATCGATTACAATGGTGTAGGTGTATACACTCTCTATCTTCCCTTAAATTATGAGATAAAAACCGCTTCATATCTTTCTTTCTACCAACTAATTCTTTCATTCTGTACTATGTCCTTACATGAAATCTTCCTTTTATGTATTACACCGCTGTGTTAACTGCTTCTATGAATTCGTTGTTCGTCTTGCTGTGCTAATGTGGTATGGCAACTTGGACTGATGCATATATGTGCCTGGTCCTATGTTGTAACTGACTGATATTCCATATTGAATTGGCTGCAAATAGACTAAGTAACTGAATAAAATATGGGTAACTTAACGATGTTTTATTGACACACGTTTTTATGCCGTTAGTTTATCAATGCATATATCAAGTAATACCTTTTCAATCAATAAAAGGAATATAAGTTCTTCTATGATAAAAAAATACAAGATTTCATCATTAGTTCCTATGTTAACCATTTTGAATTATTTGTACTTTTGCTTCAACAGTAAACTTATTCAAATAAGTTTAACAGTTGTATTGTAAACTATTCAAATAAATTCTGACAAAATAATGATTTCTTATTAGTTTATTGATTATTTATTCTATTACCTTCATATTCAAATATCTTAATAATTTTGATATGATTTTAAAGTAGTTTAGATTTTATTAAAACTGGAAACAACTTTAAGTATTATTAATCATATTTGGTTAATGTATGTATGGAGATTAACTAAAATTGGTCTTTTTAAAGTTTGATATCAACTAGAGAACTATAGGAAATTGGGAAATTGATTAGAATCTTTGTGCTTAGCAGGAACTTAATCCAAGATCACAAATTGATACATTTTTAAATTTGGTTAAACGAACAAATATATCTCATGCGATTGTTCCTTAAGATAATGGGAAGTAAACAATAAACGATCACATTTGATAATTATAATACCTTCATTATTCTGTATGTTATATATTTTGTTAAGATTCTTTAAATCATGTTTTTGTGAATCAACTACCAGATAATAATCACTAGTATATAAGTGTTTGTAGTGGAGCAATTTATTATTGATAAACAAAATTGGTGACATTAAAATATGTTGTCGTTATATTTGAAACAGTAAATAAATGATGTTGGCTTTATGCTTTCTGTTCTAAGATTCCGATATTTAAAGCCACATATTTTAATACTTTTAATTTCAAAGTTATCCCTATGAAAATAAAACGGTCTTTAGGCTCGATTAACGACTGATATTTATAATATTAAATTGTCAATAAAATAGCTAGAAAAATTACACTGTTCTGTAAGAAACTTAGATGTTTGTATTTTGAATGATAATATATTTAGATATATAGTGTCTACATCTATAAGTAAGGATAATCATCTGCAATTCTGTTCATGATATGTACACTTGGGCAGCATAGTGTGATAATGAATCATTGTACGTACTCAATATCATGTCATCTGAGCTGCAGTCAGTGGGAGAATAGACAGAGACGACGAAGAGGCAACGACGAGTGTCCCTATCTTTTCGGATCCTTACTGTTCCGTTTAGTCGGACAGCGCACAAACGACTGTCTACTGGGATCCACTCTATGAGAGCTAGTTCTGCCCTAAGACTCAATACTATACCTACGCCGGCGAGGCCACGGGAAGCAGAATCAGGGCTTCCAGATACACGAAGCGTAAATCTAGTCGGTTCTTTATTTTGGCATGGTGAGGTCAAATGAATGACGCTACTCAGATCCTGTATGCGCGTTTCGGAGACGCAGCACACATCGATGGCGCGAGATTCTAAAGTCCTAGCTAAGGAAGCCTGCTGTCCTATTTGGCACAGTGTTCGTACGTTAAAAGCTCCTACTTGTAGTTTAGAGCGTGGTTTCAGGAGACCAGGAATAGCGTTCCACGTACTCGAATCGTTTGCCCTAGCGGTGCGAGGTGATAAAGAGACGTGAGGAGGGTTAGTCATGGAGATAAGAGAGGTATTAGGAGGTGTAGGAAGGATTTGAATGTGACCAACCTGGTCTCGTGTGCTGTTACGAGTATGAGGGCTGATATCACTTCCCGGATGCCCACACCGTGGAAGGGTATTTCTTGAGGAACCTGAAAAGGAAATTGGATTAGTGTTGGTCTTGACGACCTGTGAGCGTGACCGCAGAGCCCATGGGACAACTGCTTGAGGCTGGTCGCGCACGACCTTTTCGTGGGAGGTTTTTGACGTGTTAGCTCCGTTCTTCAAAGGGCCTTACCGCCGGAGACGGAAATCCGTGAGGTAAGGTGAGGTGGGACATTTTAGGGTCGACTTTTTCTAACCCCACCCCTCCTTGTGGGAAGGCAGCATCGCTGCAGATGCTGGTTGTCGAAGGGAAACACCTTACTGATGTCACACCCCTCTACAGTCAGCAGTACGACTTCGCCCTCAAACCTTGAGTTGCTGCTTTTATTCTTACCGTTCTTCAATCGACCTGCCTGGCATGGTAGAACCTACAGGAACATATGTTCCAGCCAATATAGCTCGGTTGGGTCATCACGATAGGCAAACCTGATCACCGCGTCAAGGTAGCAGCTTCGGTCGGGACGTACTCAACATAGTTCTAATTATATTCTAAATTCATCAAATTGATGTCAGTTTTGCGTTCTCTATCTGTTCTCGTGACTTATATCTTGGATATTATCATCCTGCCATCGCATGAATACATGATTTATCAAATACAGTATACAAAAAACGAAGCTTTCTGAAGTTGGTCTATTGCTAACTTAAATATTTTACGATTTTGATTAAAGTAAAATAACATTATCAAGCTTATAACTAAAAACCAGTGATTATTTTGTAATCTGGATTCACTCAACTACAATCTCACTAAAGAAACTAATGGATAGTAAGGTACGACACATGAATTGTTTATATATTCAATATGCTTAGGTAACAACTTGGAAATTAGTACATTTGACTATTGCGACTGATTCAGGTTAGTAAACAAAAAACCTCTTAGACAATTGAAATACAAATCAGTACTTTGGTAGAGTATGATACAAAAGATACAGCTTACCTCTGAGCACCAGAAGTTTATAGACATAGAAAGAATACTTGTGAATCACTCTTGGTTGTTAAGATATAAAATGTAGTATTTTGGCTTTATTGTTGATAAAACTTGAGTAGTATTTTAATATTGAGATACTCAATATTTAATGAAAATAAAATAGAAATAAAACCATCTGCTTAATATCATGACAGAATAGGTTTATTGACTATTTAGCCATGAAGACATTAGTTCTAATGTAGAAGAGTTTTTAAAGAATACTTATTTATTCAATAAAATACACTCAATATTGTTTTATTCTCTTGACAATTCACAGACAAAAAAAAGAATAATAAAATAGTATATTGGCTATTGGCTTCTTTTCGAATCTAGTACAAAAAAAGTTGAAAAATGCAAATAGTGAAAACGGAATAGATTATGCTTACAGTAAAGCAGACATCACGTTACTGTTTACAAAAAAATCACTTAAAATTTCACTACTTAAATATCTAATCGGTAGCTAGGCGTTTTTCACAGTATATTGATATTTTCTCATAAATACTTTAGAAGACCTCGTTATAAACAGGCATAGAAGATCTCATATCAAATTGATTCACTTTAATCCGCTTCTCTAATACATATCAATACTCAAACACCAACTGATGATGCAGTGTGGAACAAAAATTACAGAGACATTTATCTTTAGAAGAGCAGATAGACAGAATGAGAAATTTCATACACATAGTTCCCTTTAATATCTTAAAGAGAGCAAGAACAAAGATTGGTGCAGAATAATATGAATTCATTTTGTTTCGTTAGATTCTCATCATCTGCTTACAACCTAAAAGATTTAAAATTCAACCCTATTACAGATATTGGCATACTTATACATAAGAGGGTGATTAAGGATGAATAAATGTATCATGGTGTAGCGAGGATGCCGATAGAGTTAATGAGGTCGTAAAATTTTGTCTCGAATAAATATAGTTTGAGAGGGAAAGTTCCGGAACATTGATATAGTGATTGTAACTCATGAAAATAGATTAATAGTAATGAAGAAAATATGGATTGAAATCAGTCAGTTATGTATGATGTAATTTCAACTTCAGAAAGAGTTGGAATAATGCCGTAATAAATAAATAAATAGAATTAAATGAATAAAATGTGGGGTATTGTCACCAGGGCAAAGAAAGATTTATAACTGTCTTTTTTTGTATACATAGGCCTGGTTTTAGACATTTGATTGCTAATGCTTCAGCGAATTTCAGAAGGTTGGAGCTTGATTGCTTATTAATCAACTTGTAGGACTTCAGTGTATCGACTTCGTATCCTGTGTCAAGGAGATGTATTTTGATGGCACTGTTGAATGCTTTCAATCCATTAGATGTTAAACTTTTCGGAATATGTTCTTTGAATCGGACATAGGCTCTCCTTTCTGTTCTACCAATGTAACTGTTTTGGCAGATACATATGATTTTGTATACACAGTTGGTGGTAACATGAAAGGGATACTTTTCGACCTTTGATTGTGTCAAAGAACATGTTATTTTGGACAGGACAATCAATTTTACTGTAGGATAAGTTCTTGTCAGTGCAGTTTTTAGTCTCATATTGATTGATCCTGTGACATTATCACCTCTGAATTTAAGTTGAATAAAAATAGGCTTTTTATTTGCAGTTGTTTCTTTGGGTTTTTTATCTTCAGGTCTGCCATATTTCTTAATAAATTGTCACGAAGTTAAAAGATAATGAATAGTATGTAATGTTAAACCATGAAACGTGAATGGATATCAAACACGGTTCTTAAAAATCTAGGATGCTTCCAACATAAAGCTAAACAACTACTGATTTTATAAATTAATGACATTTTTTATCCTATCTCGTCTAATATACTTTTTCAATTAATAGCATGAGTTGTTATAAGTAAAAAAATATTCAAGTTAACTCAGTCAGCAGTCTCGAAGCGCAATGCTGACTAGTGTTGGAGATGGTTGGAAGAAAGTAAGGGCAACCATACTGAAACGTGGCATCAGGGCTTGAAGTCACTAATTTCTAGTCTGAGCCATGTTGGTTGATGCAGACTACTTGATTGTGGTCCGCATGACTATTGTAACCAATGATTGAAGACTCTGTGTGACATGATTGAGAATCGATCACAATGGTGTAGGTGTATACACTCTCTATCTTCCCTTAAATTATGAGATAAAAACCGCTTCATATCTTTCTTTCTACCAACTAATTCTTTCATTCTGTACTATGTCCTTACATGAAATCTTCCTTTTATGTATTACATCACTGAGTTAACTGCTTCTATGAATCCGGTGTTCATTTTGTTTTGGTAATGATTCACATATGTGCCTGGTCCTACTTTGTAGCTGACTGACCAACTGAGTCATCAGTCTTCTTAGACTTTGTATATTGAACTATGAACTTTTGAATATACATTTGATCGAAATACTTAGTTTACGATAGATTATAAATACTAAACTTTAGAACTATGTATAAACGTTAATTAAGTCAGATAAAGTTTAATTCGAATAATAAACATAGATTGTTAAATAGCTTTATAGTGACATTTTTGTAGCCATATGTATCACTATTATAAGTAGTATGATTTATTATAACTCGTGATCATTAATTTACTGTTTGACTGTTGATCATTCTCGTGAAATATTTTCGAAATATCTGAGTTTCCTACCCCTCTATAGTAAAATAATAAAATGTTCATAGACAATAAAATATTGGATTCTGTTTCAATGATCACGTATTCTACTAAACACAAATTACAATATGATTTAATGAATAACTACATAGATGATATATAAATGAAGCATATTTACTGATTCCCTGTACTGTTACACTGATGTGTTGTTCATTATCAGTTACCAAATATGTAATTTCATATTTCACAATGTAATGTCAATAATTTGCTTTAAATGTGATACATCAAATAGTTATAATGATTAAATGTAATACAAAGTAGTCCTATTGTGGGACTCCTCACCAGTGCTTACAGGTTTTCAATAGTGGTGTAACATCAATCGGTTCATGATCTCAACTAAAAACTTAACAATCTCCACAACCCCTTAACTGACAACATATTTTTATTAAACAATATTTGAAATAAAATATGTTGTATTTACAACTTGCTTTGGTCCTAGTATGTATAATAGTTAAAAAAGTAAATCATAAAGTGTTGTATAAATATTCTTAATGGAGATTAGTAGTGAAATCCAGAACACTTGATATCAGCTCACAAGTTCAAACAAGCTAATCAAATGAAGTACAGCAGACTAAGAAAAAACGGGAATTACAACCGCGTATAAATAACAATGAGTTTTTTAGGTATATTTAAAGTCATTATATCTTATTGTAGGTTCATGTTGTAATTTCTCTGTAAGGTATGTTAGTTTATATCACAAGTCTTATAGAAAGAGACTACATTTATTAATCTCTTGATATAAATACAAAGTGAAATTATTCTCTATTTATTTTGTATTCAAATAGATAGGAGTTGTCTCTTAGAGAATTAAATTATGGCTTTATGATCGATCATAGATTTTTGTGATCACTTTAGATACCTGATGGATATTTGTTTCATACTACTACTGTGAAATTGATTAAAACAGTTTTAGTAGAAATTTCATAACTCTATTATAATTGTAAAATTTATTTTAAACAGGTTTCCAGTTTTATTTGAGAGTTTGGGCATATTTGGAAGAATAGTTTGTCTATTGTTTTTTATTTGTCTTACTGTTGCTGGATTAAGCACTACAATTTCAGACTTGGAAGTTTATACAATGGTATTGGATGACTGTGGAGGTGAGAAAAAAATATATTTCAGTGTACAATAGTATTTTATTTGATGATATATGATTTATTTTTCGTTGTTAAGTTTTCTAGTTGATTTTGTGTTGTTTAAATGAATAAAATGTTAATTTCTAATTATAGTTTAGCTAATTACAAACTATAACTGATGTACATAGTTACATGTACAAATTATCCAGTAAACGGCAGCTATCTGATGCATATCAATGAGTGGAAACTAATTGTGACCAAATATTTAAAACATATAAGTTATTTGATTTATTTTTCTTCAGCTTATTGACTTAATTTTTGGATTATTTAGTTCCAAGTATTATGTATAGGCTGGTATAAAAAAGTCTGAAATTTAGAAAGATACTAATTAGCCTGAGATTTCCTAATTATTTATGTGAATAAGAAACAGTTGGTTACTAAAATCGATAATTTTATTTAATAACTACTACTGATCCTTTGACTACGAAAACATAGAATAGACAGTAAAACATTTGAAGAAAGGTTGAACTCTATGTGTTTGTACATTTTTGTTCTCGTCTTAAAGAAAATCATTCATGTAATAAACTGCAATATCATAAATACGATTTGATTTATATATAATAAAAACTCAAGGTTTATTATTCGAAAGAGGATTTATAGACAAAAATTCATAGTCTACACCAGGAATTACTGAAACAAAACAAATTTTCAGTCGGCATTTAATGTGTTAGTTCTTATTGTCTGATCCAATTGTGATACATTCCACATATGTTTAGTAGAAATTTAAAATTTTTAAAAAAATAATCTAATTGACTAGAATGATTAGAGATTTGTTCTTATTTAGTGAGACTAACCATTATGTCGCTTGGGATCAGACTATAATCTTGACTATCAATACATCTATATTGTAGCTAGTTTTTTCAAAGTTAACATTTCGTTAGAACATTCGCGTTCTGAGCTATTTTTAAAAATTTTTATATTAGACGTAAAATATAATACTGTTCCAGATTAAGTGAATGTTTTATACAGTACTCTCAGTGAAAACAGATATATAATGGAAATGACAATCAAATATATCGTCACAAAAGTTAATATAAGTTATTTTTAAAAGAGGTAATAAGAAAGTATGTAACTGTAAATGATTTATATCTTCTTATATGACGGTAACAATCAGACTAAAAATAAATTATCTAGACTAGATACATATTTGTGTCTCATTACTTCAACTGTTATTTTAAAGCAAGTTGGATTAACCATTGTTCGAGAAAACCACATCTTCATACCTACAAACATCTTCCAGAAAAGGTGTAGATAAGAACGACAACAAATCAGTCTCCGCCTGTCTAGTCTTAAATAAAGTAAAAAAGCAAAATGATCACATTTTAGTTAGCTAGTAACTTAATTATACCAATCAAACATTGATTCCGTTAAACTATAGAAAAATAACTGTAAAAATATGTAGACAAATTTGAATCGATTCTCGTAATTTCGGCAATCTCAAAGGCGGTAAATATAACAAAGTAAAGTATAATAAACAGAAAAAGTTTTCTGTCTTACAAGTGAAAAGTTTTTCTTAAATCTTAATTATTTCTCATAACTGTGAGCCAGAAGCATGAAACAGAACAGTTATTTCATGCTAATTTACTACCTTTTGATAGTTGATTAATAAGTTTCAGTGTTATCATCTTTTAGTGGTTTTATGCTGAAAATGTCAAGAGTATTATAAAAATTCACAAGATCATGCCAAATCGTTGTAATATACTGTCTGTCATTTGAAAGGAGTTAATCCAATTATCACTTGATATTTTTATCTGATATTGTTATGACTTTATGTCCGACTTCTATCACTTGATTTATCCACCAATCAAAATACGACTTATACAATCTTAGCACTGTACCAAATTAATGATGTTCGACCGGTATGGGCAGTCTAGCGTCCTTATTGGTCCTATGTCCGCCTAGCCCGTCCACTTGAGTCCAGAACACCAGCTTCCAATATGCGAATCATATATTTCAAACATACTGTGTTTATATATCAAACAAACAGACCGCAACGCACAATAAAATAGGAAATAACCTTGTACACAATAAAGCCAAAAAGTGACTGTGAACGTGGGAGGCAGTAGTTAATGAACTGAGCATAATTTATGGATTGTAAATCGTATAATAATAAATTATAGGTCAAAATGAAGCTTATAATAAGAGGGATATAAATATACATAGTCTAACTATTGAATAATTATACAATAAGAATATTTATAGAATAATAGTCCATTAATAGTCCTAGAAGTTACCTGTAATTTATTATTCACTAGGATATAACAGACATTTTTCAAGTTGATCTTCATTTTTTTCACATGAAACTATTATGATGATTAAATGAGCTAAAATTGTTTAAGATACTTTGAGGAAAAAAAGCAACAGTTTAAATCACCTCTGTCATTTTATTACACCTTTAGATACAGTTATATTTAGATCATCCTATAAGATAGATAACTTTTATTTTAATGAGTGGGTTGTTTACAAATAAGTTAAACATGAATGATTATGAAATGAACTTGAAAAGATATCTGAAAAACCATAATAATTCACAACTGTTTGCATAAAAAAAATACATTAAACCATATAATAATTGATTATCTAGAATGGAGGGATACTAAAATTATCCCCAGAGTTTATCCATTTAAGGGAATAATAATAATTATTATAGTAATGTCATTCAATTTTTTGTAGTGTTTAAGTAATTAGATCATTAATAAACTGTATAGATAATGTGTTAAAAAAGATTGATAATAGTAGTAATGACATTAAGGGTACATATCAAAACAGTGTTTATAGATGTTTAGATGGTGGTTGGAGGTAGTCAACAGGAAACCCTGGACCCGGGTTTCGTGCTACTTGGCACTCGTCAGCAAGGTGTACCTGTAATCATGAGGGAACTGGTGCTCCCTGGCGGATTCGGTCTCGTGTCACCCAGCTTCACAGTCAGAGACGTTACCACTGAGCTATCCGAGCCGTGACTAACCTCCTGTAGGACTGAGATGTAATCACAATTGATTGATAGATGTTCAAAGTAAATCAACAAAAAATGACTGTTATTGTGAAGTATTAATTGGAGAAAGGGAAGAAAAGTAAAACTGAGAATAAAAGATTATTATACATAATTTTAGTCGTAAAATGTTCAGTCGATATTATTTACATTATACTTCATAAACAGAGTTGTACTAACTATGAAAGCTTCACTAGAACTCCATGTTTGATTATGAATACTGATCTCAATATTGTCTCGTCGAGTGGGTACATAATACCAACTCGTTATTAGTATGAAAATGTTGTTTGTTCAGTCCGCTTCCAAAATATCCTTTTTACTAACTAATAAATCTCAACAAAGTCATTTTTGTCTTGATTCTGTTAGACACTTATTATCTTCATACACTTCCTTAAAATTTATTCCCATTATTGATATTTTCTGTTTGGTTTCAAAACATGCACAATTTATTCGTCTACCAAACCAAATAAATCAAAATCAAAAACGTTAAGTGTGGGTGTTCTGGGAGACAAGTATAGTCCTTATTAACTTCAACTAAGCATAAATTAATCTAGGCTACCATGATCTACATTCGTAAACGACAGAGTGGTATTTATGATTAAGCCTTAATGACTATCAGGTGTGTATTTCTGTGTTTTAGATATTATCTAGTTATTGAACTAAATGCTTCGAAATCCAGGTTGAATATGTCATTTAGTCACTTTCAAATGAAAGATATCCCATTATAGTTTATATCTTATAGTATATATAAATGTACCAGTCACTAAATTAGCATTATAAGATGATATAAGCTTTCTCATCATTAATAGTCAAGACAAATTTATCATATCAGTTATATTATAAGCTGATTGAAAAATTGCTTTTACATAAATTTGATAATCTGTATTTCATATTATTTCAAAAAGTATGGAATGAATTTAATTTATTTAAATCCCTTGTGTGTTTTGTACGGATAAGATGTGGAAGTAAAATATAAAAAGATATTACTATTATTCAAAAGAATAAGCAGAATCGTTTAGTTTTCTAATATTCAAAAGTAAAATTCTCTCCTGTTTTCTGAAATTCTATTGTCAACGTATGTACCTAAGTAAAATCAATTTCTGACAAATGTCATTTATAATTTCAATAGTTGGGATCATGAGTCAATTGAAACTAGGCCACCATGAAAAACCTGGAGGCGCTCGAAGGCTGTTTCGTCCTAGTATGGGACTCCTCAGCAATGCGCATTCATGACCCCGCCTTTGCGAGATTCGAACCCATGGCCTGTCGGTCTCGCACGCGAGCGCTTAACCACTAGACTACTGAGCCGATATCTAACGGTGTTATAAATTAAAATGATTTCTACAAAACTTCTTCTTTTTAAACTATAACAATCAGATGGCTTGAGATTTACTTAGAAATGAGTACCCGAAATTCTCTTGTAAGGTTGTGACTAATAGGGTTCAGATACGCCTGTGATATAACTGTTTTATCTGGTTTTCTATGAAGATTATAATGTATGGAATCTATTTCAATTAATATGGTTATATTAAAGCTATAAGTATATGGAACAATTTTTTAAAATATGTTCAACATTAAATGTACCGTTTAAAATTGAAATATCATTTGTCTGAATAAAGTAATACGAATCTAACTTTCTATTTCTATAGTTAGTCATAAAAAGTCTGTTGCAATCGCTTTAATAGCAAATATATTAGTTGGACTTCCATCAGCTTTAAATCTTAATATTTTAGCAAATCAGGTAAGCAGTAATTATAATGAAATTTTACATTAATTATTACATAACTTTTAAGTGTAAAATCAATAATCAAACGTTTTATTATGAAACATTCTCAGGTATATGATTAATTTGTTGGTACGAATATCTAAAGGTGAACTTGACAATTAGTCAATTTAAGCACTTAGATGTTGTTTACTATACTTAAAAATATCTATATTACACGTTTGTTCTATAATTCACTGCATTCTTAACAATATAAACATAAGTGAAATAATGTATGAATATGAGATTAGGTAGTTAGGATACTAAGAAATTTAGACAAAATCTCTAATTAAGTAAGAAAGACTGAATGATAAATATAAAATACGAAATGATTATCATTAGCGTGGATCTTTATTTCAAGCTGAAACTTTGATTTTTATTTATCATCTTAACTTAAAATAATCTTTTTTTTTTAAATTTTTACCATCCTTTAGAAGTTTTCCAATCTAGTCACCTAGATTAGTCGTCACATTGCAACTTTGTCGATAGCATTAGACCTGAATTAAGAAGGACTTGACACACATGACATTGATCACCGTCCAGTGACCAGTCAATTGTTATTTTGACTAACTTTCATCTGATCTAAACATGAACAATTCATAATAGTACAGATCAAAATTTCAAAAATTTATTGATTCCTATAGGTTTAGAGATAATAATTTCATCTGAAGAGGAATGTATAAGACGAAAATAATAACATTTTTAGCATCATCGACTGATGATTTTTTTGCATAATGACAACAGAATCTTTCCATTTAGATAATTAAGTTGACAGACTATAACAGTTTCGAAATAATATCCTAAATGGGATTTGTAAATTAAGCATTATATCAAAGTTTTTTGCATACTCTTTGTAAAAAAATCTAGAATTATTAACGTTGAGCAATCCAAATCATTTTCTTATCTTTACAGAAAGAAAAAAAATTCTGTAACAGATGACTTCTAAAATAGATTTAACCATGTATAATTTTCACTAGATAATCATGTTTGTTGCTAAGTAGAATTTATTCAAAATGTTAGTTAGTAATTTATATTATTTCTATAGATATTAGCTTTTAACTTTGTTCTTTTTTTATTATTTTAGGATAATGTATGGGGTATTGCATTGCTAATATCAGGTATACTGATGGCCAGTTTAGTTATTCGATACGGACCAATGAAGTATCGTCGATATATAGTTAATGAATTTGGTATAGATGATTGGAATTTACCGAAAGTATGGATATTTATGATAACGTTAGTTACATTTAATTAATATTGGTAGTAACAGTCAGTAGATATGACCCAAAACAACATAATTTATACACTGTAATATTTTTTTGTAAACATGTTCATTGTGATGGCAATTAATTAACGTCTTGTAATGAAATACATTAATGAGTATGATATATTCACAAACACTGAAAACTATCAACTTTTGAATGTAATAAAACCATAAAATCATTTACATACATGGAATTCACATTATACATTTAAATTTTATTATTTAACTGATCCTAATTATCAGAATGTCAATTTTCAACTTTATTTCGACATGATTTAGTTGAATGAATAAATAGAAGATAAAAGAGTGGGAGTTAGGATATTTCAAACATTTTTAATATATATATAAATACATATTTCTGAAGATAAATGATAATATTCCCTGTAAGACTTCAAGTTGAAAAGTAGCACATCTATTTGAGATGGTGGAGAAGATTTGTATCTCAGGCGGATAATTTTGATGGAGTTTTGTTCTCCACCATCTCAAAATCATATGAGCGTAGTAAGCTTTACGTTGTTTGAAAATGGGAGAATTTTGCCAAAAAGCTAGTTTCCACTCGTGAACGACTGTATTTTCTCCACGAATGTCTTTGCAACACGTTCTATCAATAAATGTAGGATACAGACCTTCAATCGACTGCCCAATTAGATGGAGATAGCTGAGCAAAGTGGAAGAAAAACAGTACACCTAATAATCATGACCAAACCATCTAGCTCAGAGAAAAAACTCCATCAAAAACATTTTCTAATTGTAATCTCCCATTGAATATCTATTAGAAAATTTCTGTGATCTCATTCACAGTGTAAGTTAACGAATATTTACCAGCTCTCATATTTGCAGCACGACTGTACGGAATAGCTTTGATTTTTGGCGAGGATTTTCAATTCCAAAGACGTGTGTTATAATAAAAAAATTTTAATTCAAGAAGGGTAGTGATCCAACAGTTTTATAGCTATCAGTCTCATTTAGTGTTAACTCAAATGACATTTATCCTAAACCAAGGGAGAATTCACCGTTGTTTGTGCTATCTAGGGAAATAGTTGGTTGCGCTCTAGTTTGAAGATTGGCATTCATATTAGTCTGTATTGATACACTCTTTATTTGAGTACTAATGAAAGACTTGGGTTTATTTAAACCAATATAACTACAACAAATATTTCGATAGTACTGTGGTGCGTGCTACTTATATAGATATAAGTAGTACATGACGCGAGTTAAAACGTAATGTCTGGCAGCAGAAGATGAGGGGAAGACCAAGAAAAGAAGAGAGAGAACACAATGGAATTTGTAAGAAAACGCATGAACAATGGAATGGGAGACAATGGATTGGTGTTTGCAACGGAAACAGTCCAGTTTGAAATGATGCATTAATATTTTGCAAATTGACGATTTACTATATGGTATTCAGATTTTATTGAGATAGTCTGTAAGTTTAGTGCTCGATACACTGGATTGTCCCAACCTGTGTTCTTGTTGACTACAGTACTGCCATACATCTCTGATTATTCATTTCACATATAATTTTGTGTATTTCACACCATAACCAACTTTTTCACAAAGATTCTTTCTAAAGTAATTCAGAAATCATCCTTTTCTAAATAATGTACCTCTAGTTTTTCTATTACCAATCGGTTTCAGTCAACATGGTTGTGGCTGTAAACTGGCTTTCATTTAGTTATCATTTTCAAAACATAACATTACTATACTTATTTCATAGAATGAAATATAATTTGTGAACACAGTGATTCCATCAAAATCGGTACACAGTAAATATCCAAGTTAATTCAAAACATATTTTCATTCTAAAAACATTTAACAGATAACACTATGATTATCGAAGTCTAAACATAGGGATTTTACAAAAAGAAATTTCAGTACAAAAGTAACTCAGAAAGAGCATACAGAAGATAAGTTGAACATAAAACGGCATTCCCCCCAAAAACGATAGTTCAATATATATTATAACACATTATTTTATGGTAAATTGTTTAAATTCATATGATTATCTAATATGTAATATCAGAAGGAGTTTCTGTGGATATTATATTAATTTCAATAGTTGAGATCATAAGTCAATTGAAGTTAGGTTTTCCATGGTGGTCTAGCTTCAATTGACTCACGATCTCAACTATTGAAATGAATACATAATACATTGAATGTCTTTTATTTTAAAAATGTAAACGTAAAAACTTTAATTCATAACTGAAATTGATTATATATTGCACAATTATACATTTCTTTTAATTACGTAACATTACTTATCTCTTTTTTTCATGATAAACATTAGTATTCTTGTACCATTACAAGGAATCATTCTAATTATTTGGTGGATTTATGATATGATCGCAAGTGATCCACATTGGTATATGTTCACGTATGAATCTGTTACATCGTTGTGTGTTGAAGTAAGTTATTAAGTTTATGTATAATAGCCTTGAAAATTATCAATGGTTTTAGTTAATCCCACATCCATTTTTTTCAAAGAATTTTAGAGTTATGGATCAGGCATCGACAATGTGTTTGAGCTGATTGGTTGGTGTTGTTGAACTGTTGAATTTAAAAACAACTGATATTTAGTTTTCCTTATAAAACAATGATTATTGTTAACAGTTTAGTATAATATGAAATATAAAATCCCAATGTGATCATTAGTGGTAGTGACTAGATATTGTGATACATTTTACTAGATTTAAAGTAATTGAAAGCATTTAATAATTCTAGTTATTTCCTGATAATCAACACTCATTGAAATATACGAAGAGGTATGAGATCTCTCTCGTCTAGTTCCCTATAATCGAAGCATGATCTTAGGCAGATGTATATCGGTTAAAATTAACTATGCCACAATAATACCGGTTGACGAAAAAAACAAGCTGAATTGCAAAGTATTTGAAATAATAGTAAAATTGATAGTAAAAATGACTGAAGATAAAGACTACAGGACAGAAATTCCTGATGTGTTTGTTGAATAAAAGTTTGGAACAATATTGAACATCAGAATATAGAAGAAAAGAAAGAATGAATCTGTCAGTCGATCACGAGGCATATTACCTATAGCTTCCAATAATGGTTCATAATTATAGCCATCACAATAATCAGACATTTTTTGCCTGTCAACGTGGCTCAGAACGACAGTCATTTATTTTGTGAACTGATGTCGTGCCTTGATGTATCCAACCACCCTCCTCCAGCCTTCTATTGTCAATACCAACGAGTATGAAATCTGGAATAAGGATGTAGAATGTTCTCTATTCTAAATATTTGAAACGCACATAAGCCTCTCTTTTAAGCAACAGACTAAATGATATTAACAACTGTGTATTATTCATCAGTAATGTATTCATAAAATCGTTTTTTTCTTCAAATCTCATGTATATTCAATGTAGTGGATGATTTTGTTAGCTGCATTGATCGGGATTAATGTAATTGCATTATGGCGAAAGTGGTCAATATTTCCTGTTGCTAAAACATATGGAAACAATCCTTACGAACTAGACTTTTTGAAAACGTTCACTGATTTATGATTTTTTGTAGTGATACATTAGTTAAAAGTAGTACATATTTTTAAGTAAAAATATTGTTAGATTGAAAAAAGGTTACTAGTTTTTGTACACTTGCCTTCCAATTATTATAAAGAAAATTAAAAAGAAATTTCTGCTTGAAAAATCTTTATTCTATCGTTGAGAGAATATAAACTTTATACATTTCTTTTCACTCACAGTTATGGATTTTTTTGAAAGGAACCTATTAGATCCTTTAGATCCTTTAGTATCATTTCATAAGTGTTGATTGTACTATATCATCAGAATAACCAGTAGTGAAAAAAACTAAGTTAATGTGACTAGAAACAATTTAGTTGAAAGAGTCATTGTCAAATGGGGGGAATATACAATGCTTTATACTGATCAATATCATTTTGCCAAGATTGATTTTTCACTTATAACCGAGTACAAATAGTGCTACCATCAATATTATTAAATTCTTTATTGATAATACTAGTATTTTCCATTTGTTCGTCTGTATTTTCATAAGTTGCTGGATTATACGGATCACAACCATAAGCTTTATTTAAAGCTTTACTGAGTATATTTGTTCGATAAAGTATCCAGTTTAAAATTAATAGGCCAATCACGGCGACGAACCACTGAAACAAAAGATTTTAAACCAAAGATAGGATACATTGATATCTGAAAAAAATTCTTCTAACAAAATTTACTTGTAATCTTTACTATAAAGTTTGATGCCTATTATTCAAGTCATTATGTGAAATCTTGGTTGGAGTAGTTGAAGTTGGACAATTTTGCTTAACTGAACAAGCAATCAATTGACTCAGAGTCTATAAATAGTATATACATTTAGCATACTTTCAAAAGAAAATCTAAAACGCGTATTTGTATTTAAGAGTATATTAATTACGAGACAACTAGTTTGGATTCTTATATATATATATATATATATATATATATATATATATATATATATATATATATATATATATATATATATATATATATATTTGATTGTTATTATCATAACGGAGTCGAGAACAAATTATCTTGCTAGCTGTTTCTATATACTAAGAAAGGTTTAGAAATATAGTTCTAAGGTAGCATAATTCTCAATCGACTGACATTGAAACAAACAAAAAAGCATCATTTGAACTTTGCCTCTTCTCAGTTGATAGTGAATAGTAAGTTTTCGTATTTGCGAAATTAATGACTGGATTATTTTCATGGATATGTATAAACAAATTTTTGGAAACATTATATCACCCCATCATTCTAGAAAACTCAGTAATGTATAAACATAAAATACTCATACTCGATTGACATACTTCTAACAATGTTGTTAACAGTGATGTCCAGTTTAGATGATACCAATTTGGATCGGTAGTTATGGATTCATACATCCACCAGCCTAATAGTACAACTGATTGTAAGGGGACTAAAAATCTAGAAAAAAGACATACGTTTTTAAATAAACGAGACCTAATAAGTTCAAAGCAAGAACATAATGAGTTTACAAACCAGTTATTGAGTTTTACAAAAGGGAACTTTTCTTATCATACACTGATACTGAATCACTAAAAACATATCCATTAACGCGTTAGGCAAGTATATTCTTAGATTAAATTGGTTTGTAAATGACGGTTTTATGCTGTATATATATATACGTTTTGATTTGTGTTTGTTGTTATCGCCCGCTTCTGGCTGTTTGCGGAATATACTTTCCCATTCCAAGCTTGGACGTCTTCCTCTAGTTAGAGGGGCTGGGACGCATCGAATAGCTAGTTTATTGGTTTCGGTCACCGAGTATTTGTTTCCGTTCGCAGTCTAAGTGAACTCGTAACTGCTTCAAACTTAGCACATAAAAACACAAGTTTATTCTATGATGTAACTGTGATGGATGGCAAACATCTTGGTAAATCTTATGCGCATTCATAAGTGAGAATTGTTGAGTAATATCAAAATAAAATAAAACAACTGTCTATCACATTTTGAGCTTCAATAATACTTCAGATAATTTTGATCAATGACAAAATCTCTTTCAAACATAACATCAAATAAAATGTATTTAATGGACGCAATATTAAAATTACTCTATGGTTATTCTAATCATTTAAATTTATACTGATATTCTATAGAATCTATGTAATCTATGTAAAATGTAATGGATTCTAAAATCTTTCAAGATATGTTTATAATATTTGTTTGAAAGCATCGAAAATACTCATTACCTTGAATTTAATGTCAAGGAAAATTAAAAGAGAATATTTGAAGGTCATTTATCTTACTGAATTAAATTCTTAACAATGCTTATATAGTATTATTTACTTGAATCTTCCCATTGATATTTAAGATTGCAGTTGACCAGTCTCTTAAGGATACATGTGTATACCGTGAGTAATGCCTGAATACTACCTTAATTCACAATCATTCTAAGCAAAAATGGATAGTAACTAGCAGAAAACAATACCAAATGTATTTAAACTTCACCCCATCGCACAAGTAAGTGTCTATCAGGACTCAGTAGCTAAGTGGATAATGTGATGGGGTTTGAAGCGAGTTCCAGAGTGAAAACCAGCTCTGAGATTCAGGTACATCCAGCTGACGAGTCCCAAATAGGGCGAAGCGCGCGTCCTGTATTCCATTGCTGGCCACTATACATCTTTGCATATAATGTTTATATAGATTAGTAAACCTGAATTCATGCAACAAAACCATAAATTTATTTGAATAAGCTTAGATTGTCAACGCAGTAAAACACGAGATATTATGTGCTTATGTTCTTATTATTATGATTATTATTATTATCAAATTACGTGAAAGATGCAGTTAACAGTAATAACTATTCACTTAAAGCAATTAGATAACTGGAAACATTGTTGAAATATATGCTGCATTAGAAAATAAGTAGCCTAGATGTTTGATAATAAAAAGCTGATAAATAAAACATTTTCGCTGCTAGATATGTGTATTACATTAATGTAATAAATACACGGCTATGTGAGTACTGATAAAAGTTAATATGACAAGCCATTTATAATGGATGCAGTCATGTAATTGTCTGACTGACTAACTGACGCATATACATCATTTTGACAAATATATATTTAAGTAAACTATGTAGACTATTGGCTGTATCGTCCATAATAGAAGTTAAAACTGGCAATAATAATTTTATAGTGTTACTTATGCAGTAAAGTAACTTACGCTATAAGTGGAACCCAAAAAATTGGTAATTGACAATCATTAATACCAAATTCATTAATAAGAACACGTCGATAACGATTTGGACCATAAACAATAACTAATAGACAGAATAAAAATCCAGAAATTACAAGTCCATATCCCCATGTATTATCCTAAATTATAAGAAAAATAAAATAAAATTTTGAAATGTAAAGGATTTGTGGTTAGTTTAAAACTACTTTTTCTTTAGTATGCACCAGGGAATTAGACGATCATTGGAAAACATAAAGCACTAGACAGCTATTTAGTTCTAGTACGAAAATCTTCAGAAGTTCACTCATAATATTGAGGTGGGCGCTTTTACTTTAGACCAATGAACCGGAAACTAGTGTTTTATATATCTAAATTAAATTGATTCGCATTATTGTACAACCATGTTCCATCGCCTCCTACTAGACATAGTTTGACTCCACTAATCATGGCATCGCGCTAGATTTTCAGGTATCATCTCTTGAAATTAATTACTATTTAGTATATTTTTTCGCACAAACAATACACGTACTTACTTGATTTGTTAAAAAGTCAAGATGGATTGCTGAAGGTATACCAATAAGAGCTGATGCAATTAAAGCAATAGCAATGGCTAACCGATGAGGTACTGAAAATAAATAAGGATAAGAGTTGAAATCAATTTAATTATTATTGAAAAAATTGAAACTTCGACTGAATTTTATGAACTATGCAAACACTACTGTTATAGTCTACACGAATCAGTCCCATTTATATTATTTACAATAATGACTTCCTTTACTTGTGGTCAAGTCAAAGGATTTTGGTGGTCAATTCCTAGCTAGGAATGGTATTTACTTCACTATTCAGACAAACGTTTTGTAAAATGACAAGATAGTTTTATTAGCATGAATTACATTAAAATTATTGTGAGGAAAGCATAAAGGAACTCCTGCTGTTTACAATGACAATCAAGCTATTCATTTTATAATTATATAAAACTATACTTTTTTGCTAACTCAAGGTAAATTATGTAATCCGCAGTATTTCGTTTAGTGACAAGCATAACTAATAAGCTGAAATCTAATGTTTTATGAATATTTTGATCGTTTTAGATAATACAGATATTTATTCTAGTAACCGCCTTCCAGAATTTGTACGTCTTATATGATTCATAAAACGTCCAAGTCTGTCTTTTCATTTATAAATTATTAGCATGATGTCACATTAAATCCGTATATTGGCACGCGTTACATTTATATCTTACCGATGAATTTCCAATTCTAACACTTCGGTAATTAAAATTTAATAACACTTTCACGATATGAATCGAAGCCCATTTGATACTTCTATGTATCCACTATAAAAATGAGATACAGATTTCTGCACATATAAATGCATAAACTAAAATATCGTAGCAAACAACGAAAAAGTTCTACATTTAGTGATCATGTGTAGTTAAATTGGTTACGGTTATGACAAAAGACGATCGATTTATTCATGTTTACATCCCTGAATAAAAATTGGTTCTTAGAAATTTAACTCAAGTTCGATTGCTTTTATAAACAATATTTTATTCGGCATTATGAAAGAGTAAAAGTATTACCCTGTGTGACTTTAACAGTCAGTTTTGCATGTCATAAGATGGGATAAAGCCAGTTGTTAGAGTTGCGAGATCTGACTTGAAACTCAGTACCTAGGAATCATTATCTTTACTTATTTTCTGAATCAGTAACACTTCTAGTTATCTATGCATTCATAAACAAAATTGTCCAGTGATATTGAGCAAGGTATTCCACAAATAATATCTTTTTAAAACTTATAGTTTATGCTAGTACTTATACTGTTATTAACCTGTGAAGAGAATACGCAATACAATTTTGTCGTAGGTTTATTAAGACAGCTGTGTTTTTATTACAGCTTTCAAACTTTTGATCAATTTCTGAACACTTGTTGCAGTATTATAGTATCACTCATCATAAGTAAACAAAAATATCTTCAATCATAAA